AGTGGAGAGCAAATGTTTTGAGAATGATGAGGGTAATGAATGTACAAATGTGCTTTACACAATTGATGTATGTATGGATTGGGATAAGTTGTATGTGCCCCTAATAAAATGATTTTTTAAAAAAAGTTTTGCTTGAAGAGAGCTTCTGACTCTATAGCCAAATTGGATCAATACAGTTGTTTTAATTTGAATCTCTTGAATGGCTAATGAGCCAAAGTTGGCCAAGTCACTTGGTATTAATGTTACCTTCAGTCAGGGCCAAACACAAGAAAACACTTAAATACTGCCCCCTGGGTTAAAGTGTTTACGGGTTTGTTTTGGTTTTCTATTTCATTTTGTGTAAATTTAGGTAGATAGTGTTTCTAGAAATTTGGCCATTTCCTCTGGGTTCTGTTTTGTTGCAGTATCATTTTCCACAGTACTGCTTTTGTTTTTGTCTAGCCATTGGTCCTATGGTGCTGGCACATTTCCTTTCTTTTTCTTATTTACACCTTTTTGTTTTTCTGTTAGCTGGGTCAGTAGTTCGTCAATTTTGTTAATCTTTCATTTTTTAAGTAAACATCTTTTCTTGTTGATTCTCTCTATTGTTTTCCTGTTCTGTTGACCCTATGGTTAACAGCCCAAATGTGGAACTCATCCAGTGGCCACTGACATCAGTGTCTGTTCTCAGATTTCAACAGGAAGCAACACCTGCTCTGTCCCTTCATTTGAACTGATGCTTCAATTTTTAAAGAGCTACATATTTCTGACAAGCTGATAGTTGGTATCAACAGCTCTGGGGTGGGAGAAAGATACCAGTCTGGTTAATTCACTCCTGGTCTCCCAAGTTCAGGAAAGAAAACTGGAAAACCTTTTCCCACAAATACAGCTAGAGGGTGTGGGACTGGTTGTGTGCACACAGGTGACTATGGAATTTTACCAAAAGAAGGGCTATTAATGGAAAGAAAAGAATGCTGAGGAACGGGTAAAAACGTACGTTAGTAAATAACCCATGAAGAGAATGAATAGATCTAGAATATTCACCTTAAGCCACTAATACCTTTTCCACCCTGCCAACCAAAAGTAAAAATAGCTTTTGATATTCTTAATAATTTACCAATATTCACTCACTTCATCCTCCTAATAGTGCATATTTTACACAGTGGGGAACTTGAAGAACACAGGTCAGGAGAGCAAATGTCAGGAGCACAATTTGCATTCACAAGCTCAGATTCCACAGACTGGGCAACAGTCCAGCAGTCCTCAGCAACAACCTCCCATCTTTCCCACCCTCCTTCCCTCCCTCTCACCTTCCCTCCCTCCCTTCCTTCCCATCTCCACATCTATTCATCTTTTTCTTTCTTTCCTTTCTTTCTCCCTTTTATTTTCTCACCATCATCTTCCCCAAGCTACTTAAATCACCCAAACCAGCAAACTGATGTTAGCACATACCTTAATTTCTTATTGTTGCTATAGCAGAACTAGTACAAGTGAGTGGTTTATAGGAACTTTTCTCTCTCTCACTGTTCAGGAGGCTAGGAGTCTGGATGCGGGGCACTGGCTTTATGGAAATATTCTTTTCTGAGAATACTGTCTGTTCTGTCTCCACGTTCGTAACCCCATTACTTACTTCCACGTGGCATTCTCTTCACGCCATTTGTGCTTGCTTGATCCTGTGTGGAATCTGTTCTCTTTAGTTCTTCAGCGTGATTAGATTTAAGATGTAACCCACATTAATTATGGCCTCCTTAAAATAATAAAAATAACCCAAATCTCAAATGGGATTAGGTCCACCGGTATGGGGGCTACGGTTACAGGATTAACAGCGCATAGTTTGGAGTTGGTGGTGGGTGGGTTCACTCCATAACCGCTCATTTTACAAGTGGGATGTCCTTACCCTCAGGACTCATCTGTCGTTCCTCCCGGCCTATAAATGTCCATCATTTTCCGTCTCAGACCACTAAAATATCTCTGGACACATGACATGGAATAGATTCATGTGGTTCCGCTTTCTCCTTCTTCGGCAGGGTGGAGCGTTTAGATAGCTGCTTAATAGTTTTAGTTCCCTTTTGTTCTGGGTTGTTTTTTACAGTATCAATGAAGATGTTATACCTATTGATTGAAACAAGTGGCTTACACAAAGAAAATGTCAAAAATGAAAAATGGAGATCTTTTTAAGGGACCACAACTGGGAAACCTTGTTGCGAGAGTATCCACTTCCTATGACAAAACACCATAGGCTCCCCGTTGACTGGTTGAGGTTTTTTTTTAAGGGACTAGGTAAGTTCAATTTTGTCGTTCAACTAATATTGACCCTCTCGGTCTCCCTTGTCTAGATTCCTTTTCAAGGTGGGGGGAACCCTTCCTTTGCTGGCAAATATTCTCGGTCAATCAGCACGATAATTGTGTAATCCAAAATGTTTACAAATACGTATGCAATAGGACATTTGTGTGTGTACTGTGATGGATATCATAATTCAGACACATTTAGCTCTGTAATCATAAGGAAGGATATGGCCAAATGTTCTTTTAAATGAGCGAAAGTTACCATACAATATCCTGACTCAAGTTCGGTGTTACTTTTGTATATAACGTTTTCATGAAGCAAGTTACTTATTGAAACAGTGACTGAATTCTGTTTTGTTGTACTAACTATTACAAAAATACTAGCAAGGTGACTCACTATTAAAGTGTAATGCTTGTCTCCTGTCAGGCAGGCATTTATTAACATGATTGGATGGGCATTAATGTGATAATTATCATGTGTTATCGATTTCCACTATAGTGTTTTCTCCCATTAGGAAGCATTGTGAATGTGTATACAGGAGCAGAAGACAGCAGAAGGAAGTGAAATGAAAAATCCAGAGGCCTATCACATCTACCTTGAAAGAATGGTACACTGACATATAAATAAAATGATGCTAATGATGATGAAAACAAATATTCATTGAAAAGATGGGTTTTGTTCGAGACATGAAGTCCAATGTTTTACTTCTGCTAACTCATTTCACTGCTGCTAGCCATTGGATCCAGTATGTATGGGTGCTGTGGTGAGGCGCATTAGAGATGTTACAGTGACCCCAGGGACAGCAGTATGAGACCCTGCCTAGCCCTTACAATCTGTGAAAGAAAAACTGAGAATTAAAGAAAATGCAAATTTTCCAAGATAACAATGGAAGTAAACAACAGATATATAAGTCAAACAGGTAATCTGAGTCCACACTTCACATGCTTTAATAGCTTCATGAGATTTCAGGGCATCTCCGTCTTAGCATGAATAACATTTAGGGCTAGGTAATTCTTGCTGTGGGGGACTACACTGAATTATACACAACTACAGGTTCTTCAGCAGCTTCTTCTTCCCCAGTGGTACAGGTCAAAATAAGCTAGATATTGCCAATGTCTCAAGGGCCAAATTACACCCTGGTTAAAAACTGTTGCTCTACTCTAACCTCTCTTTCTGCTGAGTCTATGTCTCATGCACTTAAATAACCTTCAGACGCAGAATTGTAAAGGCTAGAATGTATTATACGGATCCCTGGTGATGCAATGGGTTATATTTTGGGCTGCTAACTGCAAGGTCTTCAGTTCAAAGCCACTAGTTCTGGGAAGAAATAAGAAGCTGTAAAATTTACAGTCGCAGAAACCCTGTGAAGCTCTTCTATCTTATCATGTCACTATGGGTAGGAATTGATTCAATGGCGGGGAGTTATTGGAAGCGGTTTAATGTATTATATTGATTATAAAATTAATGATATACTTTAAGAATTACTTTAGATTATTTTATTTTAAAACCTTTTTGAAACCTTAGGCCATTGGGGCCTTTGAAATCTTGTTCTTGTTGTGAAGAGAAGAACCTGGTTATTCTCACTGAAAAGGAGCTGTTTGCATTGCAAAGATGGCTAACGTCCTTCTTTAGAGTGTGTGACCTCTTTCTATTGCCCAGCTTCCTTCGAATATAAAATAATTTCAGAACTAAATTTTAGACATAAACACAGTTTCTAAAAATAAGGAGTGTGTAAAGTAATGTATACATTATTTTGTATAATTCACAATTAAAGCATACACACAAACAAATGTATACCCAAATTAAGGAACATAGTGAAATTCATTTAATAGGTATGTTTCTTAGAAGTAATTTGTGATAGATTTTGCATCTTAAGGGTTCACATGAAAAATCACCATACACACATAGACTAGAAGCAAAAGATATCAGACCAAAAAAGCTTACAGGTATTTATGTTGCCAAGGTTTTACACCTTTGCCAAATCTTGGGATTTAGAAAATTTGGGGTTAAAAACACAATGCACACACACATACACACACTGTGATTTTATTCTTTTGTTCCTCACAACAACAATAGAAGAAATCACTTTGCTACAAATATATGTTTTAAATTAGTGGTGTTGGTTTATATTTCCCAAGAAATAGTTTACCCATTACCATAGAAATGGAATTAGAAATAAATCTGGCTAACTAAGTTTTTAAGGGAACAATAATTTTGTTGAGTTTGTAGACAATGATATGTATTTAAGCAATCATACTTTATCTCTTCCTTAGGTGTAATTTGGAAGGAACCTGTCTTTTATGTGCTAGCTTACAGAACATATCAGGATTACAATCCAAGTAAATAACATCACAAAATCCTGGAACACACATGTTGCTGAGGACAGCATGTCCCAATGAAGACATGGGAACGGCCGAGGAAAGAGAACCTCTAAGTCTTTCAATGCACACAAATTCAGCACTTTTGATAGGAGACGAGACTTCATTTTCCTTCATTTGGACAGTTTTCCACTTGCACTTGTGTTGTTTCTTCATCTTTCTTTTTTACATCTGAAAAAAAAAAGTCTTCATTTATATAGAGAATATCTTGTAATGTATTTTGTATGTGGTGGAATGAAAGGGTTGGTTTTTCCCTTATTCATGCTAGTCACTTTCTACTTGACTAGGACACACTGTTCCCTCAGTGCAGATGTAGAAGTGACACAAAAGAAAGAGCTGTATGTAGGTGTAGACATGTATGTTCTCCTACTCACCCTTTTCTCCTGTGTGCTAGAATAATAATAGTAAATATAATTCTACAGATTAATATGTGTCAGGAAGTCTTCTTGGATATGATTTCCAATCTTCATTTAGATGAGTAAACCCATGTACACACAGTGGACGTGAATCACCCACTGTTGAGGAGTTGGTAGGTAGCAAGGCTACTGTTTAGACCCACACTCCATAGCCCCTGCCCTTAACCATCTCCCTAAGTGGGTTATTATGAGCCCAAATTGACTTGATGGCACTATGTTGGGACACATTATGTCCATTTTCCTCCCACTTCCTGTCTGCTTTACTTTTAGGGAATGATCACACATTCTACTTCATGTGGAGGGGTTAAAAAAAAATCAAAAGGAATTCCCTCAACTTCCTGCCACCAAACTTCTAAACCTTCCTGGGAGCTGCACTTACTCTTCATGCCTTCCCTCCTGTTAGAATGGAAGATATGCTCCTTGGGACTGACTTCATAATTGTGGGGCCCAGCACAAAGAGGAAAGGTATTACCTGTTTTTTCAAATTGTGAAACATTTAGAGATAGCAAGAGTGGAGCACTGGCTCTTCTGAGCTCAGAGCCCTGTGAAGCTGCCCTGGTCATGTACTACTTTGGGACCTGGACCTGGTATCGCTCCCGCCAGCCAGGTCTGTTGCCTCCATGATCCAGAATTCCATCCCTGTCTGTCCCACTGGGAAGCCCCACTGGGAAGCTCACTATCGTGAGCACCCTCCCTCATACAATTTCACCTGAATTCCTTTTCTCCTGGTTCAAAACCAAAATACTCCTTCAAGTCCAATTTCCCCCTTTACTACCCTCTCATTCTTTAAAATATACCATATTTTACTATCTCAACTTTAAAACTAGCTAAGCCTCCACTCTCTTGTTGTTCTAGGGAGCGCTGGTAGCACAGAGTTACACGTGGGACTGCTAATGGCAAGGTCAGCAGTTCAAAACCACCAGCCGCTCCTCAGGAGAAAGATGGGGCTTACTACTCCCATAAAGAGTTATTGTCTGGAAACCCAGAGGTAGCTCTACCCTGCCCCATAGTGTCGCTATGAGTTGGCATCAACTTGATGGCAGCAAACATGGTTTTGGTTTGTTTGAAGTTCTTGCTATTATTCTCCCTAAAATTGCTTCATCAGGGTCATCAATAGTGTCTTTCAAGATAAAGGTGGGGTTCTATTCAGTTCTTCCACACTTACTCAGGAAATATTTACTTAGGAACTATTCAGCACACATGGAATGACCCCAAAAAAGTCATCTCTGTCCTCACTGAAACTTCACGTGAAGGATCATAATAAACAAAAAAGTAAATTGTGTGTATATGAGATAATAATCCTAAAGCAGAGATTACAATGGAGGTAGGAAAACAAGAAATGCTCAGAAGTGCTGGCCTGTGGAGGTTGCCAATTGAAATAGATTTGTCTAGGAATATCTCATCAAGAAGATGTTTGAGTCAAGATCTAAGGTAGTGAGCAAGTTAACCACATGGATAACAGGGAAGTGGGCATCTCAGCAGAAAGGACCGCAGAGTTCAAAGCAGCAATTTTCAGGAAGCAACTGCAAGGAAGACAATGTAGCTAAAATTGGAGGAGGAAAGAAGTAGAAGATATGGTCAGAGTGATATCCAGAACTAGCTCTTGTAGGTAAAAATTGGCAGATTTGTGCATCCACTTTTGAAGTCAGGTGGACAGTAATTTCTGATGGATAGATATGAAATGTGAGGGAAGAAAGACAAGGGTGACTTAACAGCGACTGGAAGTCTGAGTTTGCCCTCAATGACATGGGGTAGACCCAAGAGTGGCAGGCTTCACGGAGATCATCTGGAGGCTCTCATCGTACTGGTTACCTTTGAAAATTTTATCAGATATCCAAGTTGAAAGAGCAAGTACACAATATGATAGGTGAATCGGGGTGATCTGTAGGCTGCAAAAATAAGCTTAAGTATCAGAAGAATGAGCATGATCACATGGGATTAGATAACATCACAAAATAAGAGGGTCTAAATCACAGGTTCCCAAACATAGTTGGCTTACTGGCCTCTATTCTAAAGAAGAAAGAAAAATCACTGAGTGCGCCCTTGGCTAGTGAAACCTTTTGCACTCGAGCCAATGCAGGATAAAGAGTGCGTGCTGCTGTTGGGTGCCTCTGAGCGGGCTCTGCTTCATGGTGACCCTGTGTACAACAGAACAACACAATGCTCCGCCCTGATCTGACGATCCCTCGCTGCGACTCATACGGTTTTTATTCCTTATTCCTCAGAGGTAGACAGACTATTCCTTCTTCGTAGTCAAGTCTTAGTTTGGAAGCTCTGATGAAACCTTTCCACTTTGGGTGACCCTGTTAATATTGGGTATACCAGTAGCATAGCTTCCAGCATCTCAGCAACATACAAATCACCAGAGGACAATTTGCATTTGCAGAGCCCCTTCGATGGTTCCAGCACCCCCCCCCCCCGGGGTAGGGGGGAGCACACCCACTTCTGGAAACACTGGTTAGATTAGCTGTTATCAACCTGTGGGTCACGACTCCTTTGAGGGTCGAAGGACCTTTCAGAGGGATTGCCCAATTCATCACAGTAGCAAAATTACAGCTATGAAGTAGCAATGAAAATAATTTTATGTTTGGGGGAGGGGGGCTCACCACAACATGAGCAACTGTATTAATGGGTTTCAGCATTAGGAAGATTGAGAACCACTGGGTTAGACAGAGAAAATGTCTAAAGATTGAGTTCTGAAACATTCCAATTTACATAGAGATGTGGAGATGTGGAAACATAAACTTAAGAAAGATCAGCCAGTGAGCAAGTAAGACAACAAGAAACCACAGGAAGAAAAATATTGCAAGGAATACGGGATGCGCAACCATGAAAACAAAACAAAACAAAACAGAAGCTGACTTCATGAAAGATAAAGAGTAAAATCTAGCCACTGGTTTTAGCAGAAAGAATATCATTTGTGATTCAAATAGAAGTAACGTCATTGGTTGGGAGAAATTCTTATTAAGGTGACATGAAGAATGAGATAAAGGGGATTTGCAGTCACAGAATCAGATAAACCTTTCCAGAAGTGTTGCTACAGAATGGAAACAGAAAAAATGGGGCCGTAAATGGAAAAGTGAAATCCAGGGCATGTGAACCTTAGCCTTCTAATGAGCATGCTCTTTCTCGTTAAGTGCTGTCCCCTAACAACCAGCTGCGTGCAGAAAGACACCGTGCTAGGTCATGTACCCGCCTCATCGCTCAAACACAGGACAGGCTGTATTTGATGCCCTCATTGCAGCCATGGTGTCAATCTTCTCATTGAGAGTTTTCTTCTTTTTTATTCATACTCCACTTGACCCAGCCTGGTATCTTTGTTCAGAGACCGTCCGTCCTGAGGACATGTCCAAAGTACATGAGATGAATTCTCATCACCTGTGCCTCTGAGCAGCACTCTGACTGTACTTCCTCCAAGATTTGCTCGTTCTTCCGGTAATCTGTGGTATCTTGAATATTCTTCACCAACACCATAATTCAAAGGAAACACTTCCTCTTTGGGATTCCTCAGTCACCGGGGAGCTTTCACATACACAGGAATGTGGGAAACAAAGATTTCTCCCAAGTTGTCTCCCCCAAATATATGCCAGACTTTGCTGCTTGAGAATGACTATACACTTGGAGGTCATCAGGAGATTAGGGGTCATTCTCCCTAAGAACTATCAGCCATCTGTAGCAAGCAGACACCACTGTTTATCCCACAACAAGTAGGGCCCACTCCCTTCTGATAAGGATAGTAGTTGTCTGTTTCCTCGTAGGAGACACCAGAGAGGTCAAAC